TGCATGTCTTCGGCCGCTTCGCTCTTCTTGCACTGCATTTTCTGAGGCTCTGAGCCAGTCTCCATCCAGCGTCGTTAGAAGCACTCCGCCATACGAACGAACAGGAAAGCCAGAGCGCTCAACGTGAAGCGCTCACTCTAAAATAGTCAGACGCTGATTCCTCAGTAACCACGCGCCGGTAGAAAGCCTCATGCCCCGGGGGTAGCGCCCTCGCTGCGCTCGGGGTGCCACAATGCCGGGGTTCTCGGCTTTCTACTGCGCGTAGTTACCTCAAATCAGCGTCTAACTATTATTTAGGCCCCCAGTGGGACCTCCTCGACCCCTCTCACTGTTGCTTATCGGACTCCGTCTTTGTGTCTCGGGACTTGCTCTCCCGATCACTCCTGAGCCACGGGCAACGTGGTGCCCGGTGATCCCCAGCACAGCGCACACACACATGGCGACATTTGCACGCCGGGAAGCGGCAATCTCCTTGGTTCTATGCAGGCCATGCGGCTGCCGCTTGGCTTCGGCTCTGTGACATTTGTCCCGAGACTCGGAAGTTGTCTGGCCATTGCCTGACCTCCTCCCCGGATTAGCCAGCTTTGGTGCCTTCTGTGGGGGAACGTAGAGAGCGCACTGCTCCTCCGTGTGGTCGCTTTCCAGGCACAGCATGCAGTTTCTGCACTTTTCCCGTTCCCCTTGGGCCACAAATGTGACTGCATAGAGTGACTGGTTCAACTTGGACCTGTCTGCTGACTGATTACCCACCACCTGCTGGCGGAAATGAGTATCATAAGCCAACCAGCCCTTCCCCCCACAGCGGCGTGCCTCCCTCACTATCAGTGTCTGGTATGCCAGCAGCTCCTTGGTGCGCTCTGGATATTTGCTCGTGACCACCGCCATATATATGTCAAAACGCTGGACCAAACTAAGAATATCTGGCATCTCCCTCCTGCTCTTTGGAGTGGACGAGGGGTGAGGGGTTGCTGCGGCTGTGATCGCCGCCCGTCTTTGCGCTTCCAGGTTGTCCCGCAACAACTCAGCCATATCGATATATTCACCCCGAAGAGTCTTGGAAGCCAGCTTGTGGGGCACTGGAGGTAATCCTTCGCTCAAGATGAACGGCTTCTCCACCGTCTTCTCCCCGGAACCACCACTCGTGCCGCCGCAAGCACCCGTGCCCTCAGTACTCCGAGGCGGTTGGACTGCCGCTGTCCCTGCTTCCACCGTGGGTCCATCTGCCGCTATAGGTAGGCCGAGATGGCGAATATCCCGAGCATGTCACCCAACGGGGCTGCTGTACATGAGAAGATGAGCATAATGCTCTGGACCAACTCCCTGACAAGGGCGTGACGCCCCGCCACCACCATGCGACCACGAGGCCCCGCCAGGTGGCCATCCACCTGACCGTAGGCTGCCGCTCGCCGCCTGGACCCCCCAGACCGAGCCGAGCAATCAGGCGCCTCCACTGGCCGGCCGTCATTTGCGGCCCGCCCACCAGCACGTGGCCGACCACACGGTGCCGAGGTAACAGTCCCAGCTCCATGTAGCTCGCATGGCATGATCCACAGCTATCACCACCCGTGGTGGACCCCGCTCGACGAGCAGAAAGCAGGTCTGGCTCCTCGCGGAGAAATCTCCCTGAGTGAATCCTTCAGCAGTGCTTTCAGTTCTTCCCCGTGGAGAGCTGCCCTCGATGCCGTAGTGGGTGGGTCCTCAGAAGCCATGATGCGACTGGGAGACTGACGGGGGAAAAAAGGAAAAAAAGCCGCTAGCTCTTCACTGCTCGGCTCGATTCAGGTTATCGAATGGCCCGTGGCCTCTCTGCGCATGCTCGTGACCGATTGGCCCCGCGCATTCGCAAACTCCCCCCACCCGCAAAACCCGACGCCGCCTGCCCTCTGCAGTTAACTTGGTCTAAAGGCCTTTAAACCATGTATTAGGAATCCATCAGTTCATAATCTCCATCATCATATAAAGTTTCTTCTGTTGGTCCATCACATGGAAAATATACACCATACTTGTGTGTAATTACATTCATTGAAAGACAACTCCTTCATTCCAACTTTTCTTCATCCTTGCTCTTTTTCCAACATTTAGGAAAGTGTTGGACAACACTATTGTCAACATTAATTGCATTGAGTGTGTTGCAAGGGTGGGCACTATCCCTTTTTCTTTTCCTCGGATTACTTGCTGTAGCTCCTACTAGTACAAAATGATCAATGTGATCCAGCGGCCCATAATCTGATTCCTTATCTGGAGTCATCTTTTTCGGTACTCTCTTTTCTTCAAAGTTGTGCTCTTGTTGACTCTTCACCTCTAGATCTGTAAGGTAGGACAATACTTTCTTTCGTTGCAATATGCCTTAGACAGGCAACCTTGTCCACTTTTTATCTTTGCCAGTTTCAGGCACTGTGGTGTATTACGTTAACAGTCTCTATTCCATCGCTCAACAGCATTTGTGTTGCTCAGACATTACTCCCAAATGTCGTCCTCCATGTTTGAAAATGGCTTGGAAAGCATTTTGAGGTGGTCAGGTCCACCACTGTGCCCAGTGCTTTGCACATGACTAATTACAGTTTCCATCAATGAACTCAGCGTCATTAGCTTTACAAAGATTCGGGACAATCTGAAGAAGCTGCATGACTGACCACAAAGTGCTTCAAAGCAACCAATTATAGTTAACTGAACTGTAAAGAATCTGAATTTTTGAAGCAATTTGCAAGAAAACTCTCTTTTCTCTTAGTCTATCGCGTGATGATAATACCTTCTCAGCAACACGTTCACATGATTGTTGCCAATGCACTTTACAACCTTTAAGCAATTTTTCTGCCATATCTTTCCCAACTGCTGCTTTTAAACCACGTATTTCAGCATCGGACCAGTCAGTCACAATACCCTGCAATTTTAGGTCCAGTTCAAAACTTTCACTTGCATTTCAAACATTTTCCTGAAGCACAGTGCATTGCCTGCTGAGGCTTGGGTATCTAACCTTACTCTTGCAACAACTACCCACTCCATTGAAGTATTGTCAAAGGCCACAGCATTAAACAAAATTAATATGGATAAGTCTCTGCAGTCGTCATAAGTTATATCACACTGTTCGGTGGCAATGTTTTTTTTACATGTGTGGTGATATAGTGAATATAATTCTTTCCCATGTTCTAAACCTGATGACACCAAGTAATGTCTGCCAGATTTCCTAAACTTGTTACTTTCATCAATGCCTAAGTTACTATCATCCTTATCAATTTCATCAGCAACCTCTTCAAAATTCATAGGTTCCCATTTTCTGTCCAGTCCACTTTTTACTTAGTTTTCCTAACCTCCTGGGACACCTTGCCACTGTGACTGCATGCTAGCACCATCAACAGGAGTAGAAATGAACCCCAAACCTTTTCCACAACTTGTATCTGATATTGAAGGCAGGATTTGCGAGTACAGCATTGTTGATCTTTTCTCTTACACACTGAGCTATTTTATTTGCTGAGTGTATTCTGTGATTGTGAATCTTCAATGATGGAGAAATTTTTGCAACGTACGATTCCACCAAACCAGCGTCAACCATATTTGCTGTTTTTGATGCAAATAAACTCCAACAGGACATTCCCCGGATTTTTCTGGCGCAATCTTATGTTTTGTTTCTTGTATCACGAATGGGAACAATGTGTTGACAACCTTCTACAGGACTGTATGTTATTCACCTCAATTGTTAAAGGTGATCTTTGTTAAGCTGTCCCTTCAAAAGTTGAATCTTCCATATGAAGTGTGTATCCTCACAGGATTTTTCCAGGTGTGATTATATTTCACAGCTGTTAATACGAGGCTTTTAGTAATACCCTGGAAAATAATAGCAGCTTTTGTTTTCAACTTGCAACCAATATTCTGGTTCAGAAAATACTTTCCTTACTACGGTTAAAATATTAGTTCCCTTTTGGAAGTCACTTCTTTTTTAAGGAACACTTTCTGAAAGAGCTGTGCTTGAAGTGGTAGGCGTTTCTACACTGAAGTGACATTTAGCCAGGAGAAAAGGGTGTGAACTATTCATTGTATTCTTGAGTAGTAATAAACACCATTAGCGACATAATGACCACTGCTTTTAATCATGGACCTCAGTTGTAGCTGCACTAAAGACTCATGACACACCTGATAAACATCCTCCGTCTTTACCCATATTGTTACCATGTGAGAGACACCTTTTATGGGAAGAATTTGTCCAAGATATGCTAGAACCTCTTATCCACTCCGCTACCTTTAGAACTCTCCATTGCAACCAACGTGGTTTAAAGCATCAATTGAGATTTTGTAAAGTTCTTCCCTAGTCTTCAATGTGTAAGCAGACATCACAGCAATCGCCTGTTGCACTTGCATGTGTGTTAACTTCTCCAAAAGCATTCAGGAGAAGTTTTCTTTGGCACATACCGGCAAGATGAGCATTAACAAACTTCCAAGATTTGGCAAAGCAGGTATGTATACGTCTACACCTTTCCTTGTCTGAAATATTGTTCAAGACCCAGGGGTTTGCATGTGAGATATCAGATCTGTGGTAGAGTATCGTGGCACATGCCTGGGAACCATCTCTTCCAGCTCTTTCTAACTCTTGTGCCCATGAGAGCATGCTCTCAGGGACACCATTTCTAACAACATGACGAATATCTATTCCCATCCCAAAGGACATTTTGCAACAATTGTCTGTCCAGACTTCCACCTGAAACCAAGGTAACAAGCCAATATTACTGGCTTCCGTACATGCTGTGGAGGCATCAGAAGTTAGCTACAACGGAGGTCGATTGTTGAGTTTCGCAATGCTTAAACGTCATCTACTGCTAGTCCCTGTCGAAAGCTAGTGAGAGAGTGAGATCACGTTTAAATCTACAGCGTAGCTCAGTTCATCAATTAGTAGGATCCTGAGCGTGTCTCCGCCGAGGGTTTGCACCTTAGTGCTTTTCATTTACGAATAGTGGTAGGTACAGTTTATCTCATTTATAAGAAGTACCTTTATGATGTGAAAAAATCAGGTGTGTGGAGCTGTCCTGCTACCACTGGAGAGCGACCTCCTGTATGTGCAGACCTTACTTTTACTGCAGTAAGCGACAAGAGGGCAGTGCTCTTTGGAGGGCACAATGGTTCGCAGGAAGGGTTTACGAATAATGTCTTTATCATTGACTTCTCAACAATGGTAAGCAAAATAATGACAGACAATATGTATTATTATTATAAGGACCACTAGAACTGGAGCAAGCTCAAGAAAACAGGTGGTGGAACTTGGCCAGAAGAGAGGGCCAATCATGCAGCTTGTTGTCTCAACCATGGCCAGCAGTTTCCTCAACTACTGGTAACTGGGGGGCTAGACAGATGTTTTAAGCCACTATCTGATGTCTGGATTCTTGATACTGAGATAGGCAAATGGAGAAAGGTTAGAACAGTGGTGCTTTCTCAATACCAATTATTGCGAATGTATATCATGTGGTCTACTTAGTACAATTCAGAGTTGGTGCTGTGAATTTTCAAGTACCTGTGTCATAACACAGTTGTTTGAGGTTTGCGTTTTGTCTTGTTTTGTGGCCTCATGGTACTGCCTAGACAGCATGTAAAAAATCAGACCCAGCTAGGGCAGCACTTTTTTCCTGGGTTGTGCTGAGGTTATAGCACATCTTGTAATGTTGCAAATGTACTTGCGGGGAATGTATTGCTGCGAAGGTACTTATGGGATTTTCGACATCTACGGTTGTCCAAAGTCATTGAATCTACACCTTTGTTTCCTCTGCAAATGTTCCTCTGTAGAATTGTGGTCTGAAATTTCTGCTGATTTTTGCCGCCAGTTAAGCTCTGCTTACAAGAATTCACAAACCGACTTTGACAATTCCTGTGTGATTCACTTGATCGGCTCCAACCTCGTTAGTATGTGCTTGGTAGTGATTTCAACTACCAATGCTAAATTTTGCTAATTTTGTCGGCTTTGAAAAAATGTTTACTATATTTGAGGCCAAGAGGCACAGGCTGCCCACACAACGTGTAATATACACCTAATTTTGAACGAAGGTAAACTGTGGCATTCAGTTTGAGAATTCAAGACATATTTGCCTGAGACAGCTCTACTCTCTTGTAAAGTAATGTTAGAACACAGTGAGTTTAAAACCCTTTAAGATCCGTAACATCATTTTGTCGACAATTGCAGACTGTTAAGGCCCCTAACACCATTTGGCGATGTGGAGTGTGTTTTATTTGTATTTGAAACATTCCCCCACAGCAGAAAATAAGGTAGATAATTAACCCTCGGTGCGCATGCGCAGCGAGGGTTACTGTAGTTGTCGTGTGTGTGTGTCTGTCTGTCTGTCCGCCAGCTATCTCCCTTCACGAGCAATCAATCGCTCCACAAGTGATATCATGTATTCAGCGTCGGATAAACGTCGAAAAGTATGTGGGGTTTTCTCTGAAGATGCTGTGTTCGGGAGTTACGGCGTGAAAACCAAGTGAACGAGCCAAGATGCAAATTAGCGCAGGCTTACCTCGAGATGCGCGCTCTCTGGCACCGAGATACGCTTGCTCTGTGTAACTGGGAAGCACCAGAGGTTGCAATGAGGGGCATGTATCGACTCTCGCATGTTATCTAGTAGTGTAGCTAGCCCATTACCGACTCTCAGCGACCTGGTAGGAGACCACGAGTAGGTAAAATGGCCCAGCCCATCAATCAGCAGTACAACACATGCGTGTACTTCCGCACGCGTGCGTTTCGTGCCTGGCACAATCTGTTTGCGCATGAGCATGATAATCTAATCCCGTACCAAGCCTATTGTTGAGCTAAAACATGATAGATGCACAGCGAAAGATGTACCTCACTTGGTAGCATGGTTAACCTCGTCTGCAGCCTTTCACAGAAGACTGTGCATATAGTCGGTCTTCCTCAACCTTGCTTTGACATGGAACTTTTCTCTAGGAACCACTTGTGTCTCCGCCGAGGGTTTGCACTTTAGTGCTTTAATTTTTAATGGCATTCCTGTCGATCAACATGTCCTAATGCATGGTCCTATCAATAGCTCAATAACAAATTGCATCATTTCCACTATCACTAAGTACGGTAGTAGTTAAGATGACATAATAATTATATTCACGAATTTGGGTCCAATATAATTTCTATAGGAGCGGACAAACTGTTGGAAGTCAAAAATTGCTGCATGTCCTGTTCCATAGCAAAATGTACAAGGAACACGACATGCATGAATTATTTTGCTTTGGACACTAACAACGTGTAACAGCTGGCACCTACCCTCATGTCTCACTGCATTGTATTGCTGTATATGCTACACCACAGCACTCACCACACTAACCTAGTGATTCATTCACACCTTGTTGCCTGTATCGTCACTACCTATAAATGCTCAACCATGCTCCTAAGGGGCGCCGATGATTTTATTGGGAGCCTGTGACTCTGCCACTACTGCGGCGCAGGCCACGAAAGCTACAAACGCTTATTGTGCACAAGGAGCGGATGCGTGTGAAACTACATTAACTTACATAATGCACAGCTTTTCTGTGTATGAGACTGGAACTTATGAATATATTATAACTGAGTCATTAAAGCAAGCCTGAAAATCTGCTTTTTTGTTCCTTGGAGTAAACTAATGAAGTTAAATAGGTAAGATACCTCCTTAAATCAACAACAGGTCATACATGTGAAAGAACATAGTTTAGATGGGACGGAGAAGACAATTGCTGTTAACACTTACCGAGTACCTCACGTTATAATGTATACCTGTCCTGCACATGTGATGATATTTGGTGTTGACGAGGACCCTGGTATTTTCGTTGCCTCTTCCTGGCTTCTTGGAAGGCGAAAAAGCAAAGCAGCAACCTCAAGACTTCAGTACCGTGTGAAATATATTTGGCAAGCGGGAGTAGTGATTTTTCGATATATAATAATACATATATAATTATAGGAGTCGTCCAACTGTGCATGCGTTTGGATAATTATACGACCGTACGTCGTCCAACTGTGCATGCATTTGGATTACATGCTTCAAAATGCTGCCCCTATACGTGATCTACCCAGCAAGAGAACTCCCATCCATTCGACAGCAATAGTTGCGTTCTTCGATGCCTGACTGAGGCTGTACGACTCTCCAATGTTCGTGGTTCCAAGGTGCAATTTGGAAAAAGACTAGAATACCTTGTGCAATCATTGTGTGCTCACTCCCGCTCGCGAAAAATGCCTTGCATTCCCCTACTAGTATACAAATGAAACAGAGTAAAGTTTGGAGGTACATGGTAATAGGCTAGACTGAGCGATGGTATAGCCCAGCTTTCATAATATATTTTCGTCAGTTATTCCAGGGCAAGTCAAGTCACATTCCTTCAGAGATCCTGAGTTGTCATGGTACAGAGTGTCACTGGATTCAGAAAATAAATTGGTGCACGGGGAGTTGGTTGACTCATAACAGAAGCAGGCTGAACTTGAACTGACACAGAAGTGTTTTTACAGTACTTGATCTTATGAGCGGGCAAGAGCACTGGCAGTTGGGAAGTGAGCCATGCCAGATGGAGGTGGTTGAGCACCCAGGAGAGAGAACCACCCTGGCAGCCTCCGGGGTCCCATTCACCACTCTAACCCCAACAACCCCCAGCCACTCTTCAAAGCGCTCTTCGAGACGTACCTTGAGAAATGCCAATTACACTCACCATCTGATGCATGCACTCAGCCAGCAACAAGCCCGGCATCGTCTTGCTGGTATGCGCATTGGGTCACAACTCTGAACAAAACAATGTCTCGACAGTGTTGATCTGCTGGAAGACCAATCACTCGCTCATATGGCAAGCGAAGTGTAACAAAACTAAATGGCACGTTCAAGACACGTAAACGTACGTTGGAGACACATACGTACGTCTAAAACGTACGTTGGAGACACATACGTACGTCTAAAACGTACGTTTCAAACGTACGTTCGAGACGCGTTCATTATACGTACGTCTGTGGGTCAGTCACGTGCTAAACATCACGCCGTTTGTGACTATCATGTGAGAGAGTATCATAAGTTCAGTATATACATGGCTGAGGCATACAGGGTCAGTTTGTTTTTTGATGAAATTCGTCACTTGATTGAAGAAGCTGAGAGACAATATTATGGTTTAGCTAATCGTAACTACACCGAGTATGTAGTGGAACGTTTTGAGTACACGATAACTGTGTGCTCTGATTTTTGCGATCACCTACGCGGAGTTCCAGGATTAGATGACTATTTTCGCTCTGGACTATCGTGAGCTTCTTTCACGCTATTAGCTTCAGAGTAACAAAATGACACAGGCGTCCTCCTTCCTTCGAAGTAGCATATCACTTCACGAGCCATACTCTACTCTCAACTGCGCCGAACACTCGCTGTACGATAATGCGCATGCGCATAACGGATACGCGTATGGATCCGGATATGGACCGGACGTACGTACCATCAGTATGAACGTACGTTTTAGACGTACGTATGTGTCTCCAACGTACGTTTTAGACGTACGTATGTGTCTCCAACGTACGTTTTAGACATACATATGTGTCTCCAACGTACGTTTACGTGTCTTGAACGTGCCATTTAGTTTTGTTACACTTCGCTTGCCATACGCTCAGACAAAAAGACCTCAGACACACAGCAGCAAAAAAACTTTCAAATACTCTTAACCAGCAAAAAGACTAGACGAGTTCACTTCCGAGCCCACTTCCCTTTCTCTAGACGTCATAAGGTTTCCAACACACAAACAAAAAAAGTTGCACTTTGCCTTCCGTCTGCCGTCTTCGATAACTGCACCATGAACTATACATGGCACCAAGGAGCGGCAGCAATCTAGTGAGGGAGAACGCGAAAATTTCGCATTAAGCGGAAGGAAGTTTTGTTTGCAAGCAGAATTGCTTTTTGATTTTCTCTGGTGCGTTAAGGCCTGTCCGCGAGCAGCAAACCGGAAGCTGGACGGAATCACGTAACCACGCCCCCGTAGTAAGGTTTCACGGAAAATATACGGAATAACGCCATGTACGGACGTCATTTTACGAATATGCGCATGCGCGGAACGCGGACGGGTAGTAAGTTTTTCACAACTGTTTTCGCTTAGGCGGAAGGGTTCCGCTTAGTCTATAGCTACTTTTTAACGTTAAGAAAGACAAACGCAAAGTCCTCTGATTGTTTATCCAACGGGGAAGGTGAGCAACTTGACAGTTTTAGATGCAGGGCCCGTTTTTATCTTAAAACTGGGCGCGGTTTCGATATTTTAGTTCGTTATCGACGCGTTACTAGTTTTTCATTTCCTTCCCCGTTGGATAAAGATTTACTTAGTATGTACTTGTTTCTCTGAGCTCAAGATTAATTCTTAATTCGAAGTGTAGCATCCGCCTAAACGCATATACGAATTACTGTAAACAAACAAACAAATATTGTGGGCGTGGTCACAATTTGTTAAGGAGTTTAAGACCTATGAGTTTTATCACGTTACCAAGTTTGAAAGTAAAAGGTAATGTGACACTCTCAAAACAAACCAAAATCTGAAATTTTCCATGATTTTGATGCACCCAGGCCTTAATGCACTAGAGTTGACACGAATCGGAACTGGAGGCAAGCATTGTTATGTCATCTGCATGGATAAAGCACCCTTCATACCCAAAATATTATTGACATGTGCAGTGAGCGTTACAGTACTTGGTTCGTAAGTGTGTCTTTCTGTCTATCAGACTGTTACCAAGTTTTCTGCCACCAACCGAAATGAAACAAAAATAGCGATACAAAACGGTTCAGGTCTACACTGGCTTTATTTGAAATTTGTAAAAGTACTGTGTTCGAGAGTTGTGACATGAAAACCAAGCGGACAATATGCAAATTAGCACTAGCTTACTTTGACCGATCCGCTTTTGCTCTGCTTACCTTGGAGGCTCCAGAAGTTGCAACGTAGGACAAATATTGACTTGCTCGTGCACACTTTCCAAACCTTTCACAAACCCAGTGTGCAAATTGGGTCTGCAGCTCATTAACCCTCGGCGCGCATGCACAGCGAGGGTTACAATTGGTTTGTCTGTCTGTCTGTCTGTCTGTCGACGCTTACTCTGGAACTACAGGCTACGAGGCGGCCTATTAGCGATACCAGCGGCTTCAGAGCTACGTGAGCCTCAACAATGAAAGGGCGATTTTCCTGAAACGACTGGGTTCGAGAGATATGCCGTGAAAACAAGCCAAAAAGCCAATATGCATAATCGCGCTGGGCTTACCGCGACCTGATCCGCTCACTCTGTGTAGCTTGGAGGCTCAAGAAGTCACAACGAACGGCATCTATCGACTCCCGCATGCTATCTACTACTAGCTAGCTAGCCCATGTCAGACTCTCCGCTCACTACTAGCAGGAGACCACAAGTAGAGGCATACTACTAATAGCCCAGCCCAGCAATTAGCAGTATCGCGTATGCGCAGTTCACCGAGGGTTTGCATTTTAGTGCTTTTCAAGTTGTAGCTTGCCAGCTTGCTAGTTGTGGTGTTATTGGACAGTTTCTTTTCTACTGCAGAGAGTGTATGCCACTTTCACAGTTCTTTTAACCAATAGAGGCAACAACAAAGGGGGTATGTGGTGGAAAAGTGTGCATGAGCAAGTTCATGTATGCAGTCATTATCCACTGTACCACTGCATACATCCAACAGTCATCCCTGTCTTGTCTCCTTCCTTCTTATGCAATCCCTATGTTCACCATTTTTTTAATTAAGGCTTTGATCCCTCCAAAACCTATAGTCCTTTCAACAGCTTGATTAAAGCTCTGACAGAGCAGGTGTTCTGGTTTTAGCTATCATAGTGAAAGTAAAAGACGTGGACTCAGCGAGTATGTCAGACAATGTCGAAACACTATCGTCATGACCAAGCAAGCTTGTGAGAACAGTAGCCCTTCAATTAGCAATGACCTCCAGATTGGAGACACATCAATGCCTCCTGCACTCAGGACACATTACAACCCTTGTCTTTGCAGAACTCGGGCACAAACGCCACGTGAAGGATGCAGGATCTAGAGCTTTATGTTGAAATACTTCTGCATGTGTGTGCTCACACGCAGCAATGCATGGGGCTTTTTCCCACAAAGAGCTGCCTATTCCCAATGCAGGGTACTAAGTGGCCCACACAAGGCCAAATGTAACCCAAGGTACCAATCCATACCATTGTTCTTACATTGCTAGGCATGGAAGTGTTTCCACATCCAAGTCAATTCATAGCCTACGCTTCTCAACTAAGTCCATCTCCCTATGCTATTTTATTCAGCTCTACACACTCACATGGTGTACTGGTCTCCCCTTCCTCTCTCAAGAAGAGGACTGGGAGTTTACTGACTCTGACACTTAGGTTTCCTGAGGAAGAGAGGGAAGTAAGACTCAACAGAAGAAAGTTTCAGCATTCTACACAGTCAATCTCATCTTGTTTGTTATGCCGAAGCAAAAAAGAACACAAGGCGGGGTCAGCTCCTCAAATGATTCCCTCTACCAGCAGAATGCAACGGTGCATAACAGCAATGCCCTCACTGAATTGTTCAGGAAATAACGAAAGGAGAATGGGTTTCTTGGCCGCCTACGATGGACTTGCGTGGGGCTCTCATCTCTCTTTCCAGGAGTAGTTGACTTGGACTGAGCGCAAGAAGGTTAGAGCTGCTGCAAATATGTACTGGAAAATACGCCAGCACACTCGGACTTGGAGTGCTGCAAGACTGCCATGAAGAAGAATTGCCTTTTTAAGACAGATGTGCGTTGCTCTTTGGTGGAAACTGTGGAATATACCAAAGCATGTCAGATAGCATCAAGGCTCTAAATACCACATTGAGGTAGAGGCTCCTTTCTCCACCGACGGTGTTGATAAAGAAGAAAAAAGAGGTTCTCAAGTCATGACCGGCGTATCTACGGACTTTGACCTCACCAGTTTTCAGCCTTATCGGTCTTCCAGAGGTTGGGTTTATAGTCACATCCCAAGCCTACAAATTCTGGGACATCCGGCGCAAACACCATCTAGTATGGCTGGCCACACCTAATTACAAGAGTGTAACTTGGTTTGGCAAATGTCCCTGGGGAAGACAATAGCCCAAATTTGAAGCCTATTTCTTCCGCATGGCCAGCCCATGTCAAAGCACCTTTAATGGTTTTAAAGTAAGTACTCATGCGGGCTCACATGACACTACTACACTAGTAGGTAATCTTTGAAAGTGTTGAGACTTGCCTTCCCTAACTTACGTATGATGCCTCCACAACGCACAACACAAGCAGAATCCAATATCAGTAAGCAAATAGATTAGCATACTGGCTGTTCACTTGCCAAGACTCATGAATGCAGTATTGACACGAATTTTGTTCATCAACCATGTACCATTAATATTGCTTTAGGCAGAAAAAGTGACCAGCCTCGTCCCCAGGCTCTCTCGCAATGATGCTATTTCATCGTATGACCTTTGACCCATATAAGTTAGGAGCGAGAGAGCCTTGTCCGTGAAATCATGTGTGTGATGTTGGATGCTGGATGGAGCTAATCGAGAGTGTAGGTGTAACTGATTGTAGGTTAAGTAGGGTGGCTTTTGCGCCAACTAGTCCAATGGCTCTCTTTTTTTGCAGATTGGTATATTGAAACCTCGTGCTGGTCACTCACTGACTGTTCTCCAGATAGGTCCAGATCTAACAGAGGTCGTGGAGTTTGGGGGAACTCCTGGGCAGTGGATTGGAAACTTTGAAAAGCAGTGTAAAGTTGCCGACACAGCTATACTGCAGTTTAGTAAGTGACTAAGACTTATCTTGTAAAGAACACCAGCCTAAGGTGTTTTCGCACTAGTTTTAAATGCCTACACCTCTCTGGGGAGTATAAATCTAGAGTGTGGTTAACCTGAATACAAAACACTTGCTTTGTAATCAAAAGGTTGTGTCAATTATAAGCATTGCCAGCCTACGTGGTCAATGTACTTAGTATTAAACAGACGAGACGGGTCGCAAAAGTACCCGTGGGAGCAGGGCTTTGCAGCCTAGAAGGGAGGAACCATCACATAGCGGAGATAGGAAGGTATGCCTATATCCGCTTGGTTTTACACAGGAGATCCTACTCTTTTATCAAACAACTCACCAAGATTATCAGGAATGGATAACATCTACTAAATCAGCTTAATGCAATGCCAGGAGATTGTTTGTGCGTTGAAAGGGAAGCAGATCCACTTTCAGCTTGTGTGAGTGAGGTCTTAGAGTTCCTTTGCAGAATATTTAAAGCCAGCAAACACTATCAAACAACAATCTCAATGATTTACAAGTAGGTGGACAGTGTCCGAGTATGTCAACACCCAATGGTATATAGCAAGAGGGTGTATAATCTGAGGCCACCAGCAGCAAAATACACAGCAATGTGGGATGTAGACATGGTTTTCAATCCTTTCCAGACAGGCGCGAAGCGGCCCCTCTAGGGGGATCTGAGGGCATGCCCCCAGAAAAATTTTTATGCTCTGAGGTGCATTTTGGTGGATCCTGGAGCATTTTCAGGTCTGGATTGCTTGCATAGAATGGTTCCAGGTTCAGAGTCATATACATGTAAAGACAGTAGGCTTTCAGCCTCTCCCACAAAACTACCAGGAAAGTAATGGTACTGTAGCATGCCTACAGAAAAAGACGCCTTTGTGCGTTTGCTAAAACAGCTAAAGAAAAGCCTAGGTTGTTCATACGTACTGAAAATGGTCACTATACTTACGCCATTCACTTACCGCTCGAAAAGTAGGCATTGTCCCGCAGGATCTTGGGAAAGACCAGCTCCCATCTTGCACATCTATAGTTGGAGATGCTCTTAGGGTTTAAAACGCTGACTTCTCCCGACAAAAGCTTTCTAGTTTTTGAGCTACAGCTGCGTTTTAGAGCACGCTTCATCTGACCATACACTTCAAATTTTATTCGGCGTTCGCGCATGCGCGGGTGCATGTAAATGCAGACGTTAATTGGATACCAAAAGTGCATTCGCATTCATCTTCCACCTGGAAGTAGGGTGGTAAAAACTGTTTTCGCAATCAGCACATTTTTTACAGGTCGTAAAGCATGTGTAGCACTCCAAGCAGATTGCAGAATTGCAGTCAAGGAATGCTGACCGCAAGTATATACTCCTTATGTGCTACACAGCTAACTTTAATCGTAGGCATTGGCTGGACTCGCAATTTAATGTAGCTACCTACTCCTCACAGTTATTGTACATGCTACTCTATGACAAATTTTTCGAATTTGCAAGATTAACGCAAATGGACTTGCAGGTAGGCATGCTTAGCTTGCCATTATGTATATTGCTAATAATTATGGTGCGAACATTATGTACCTTATGGCTAAAGAGGTGTATCTGACACTTTAGGACTAGTGGAGACTTCTGACCAGTCCCAATGGGAGTTGCTGTCTGTATCCGACAATAAACAACGTGGATCACACCAGAGAATTATTGAGAAATTCCGCTTTGCAGTTGAGAGCTGGCAGCAATCCACATGTAATAAAGAGATTACACAATTGCAATCAGAGAAACGGAGGGTGGGGGAATTAGAGGAGGAAAAGGAAAAGGTAAAGATGGAATTGCAGCATGTTCAAGCAAGAGCCAATGTGCTACAGCAGAGGCTGGATGAGGTTGAGAGGAGGGAACATGATAACTTGGTAGTTCAAGAGCAAGCCATTGCAGCTGAACAGCGAGGTCCATCATGGGAAGTGAATGATGATGAATTAGAAGTCACAGAAGAAGAGCTTGGGTGTGGTGGGTGGGCTAAAGTCAAAGTTGCTAAACTCAAAGTGGCGGCAAAGTGCTTGCACAGCCAATTGGTCTATGACTACCATCGTCGTATCTTCAGACGTGAAATGGATGTTGCTGCCAGAGTTTGTCACCCCAACTTACTACGATTTCTTGGAGCAAGGCTGGAGGGAGGTATGACCATTTTGACAGAGTTGATGCCAACTAGTCTAAGGGCTCTGGTGAACCGACATCCACAACAACATTTACCTTTAAATCAATTCCTCTCCATTGCAATTGATGTGGCCAATGCCCTGAACTACCTCCACAACATGACTCCCTACCCTATAATCCACAGGGACCTCAGCAGTGCCAATGTTCTCCTCAGGCCTTCTTCCGATGGAGGTTGGATCGCAAAGGTCTCTGACTATGGTACCGCCAACTTCCAGAACCTACTGCGGACTGGGAATCCAGGCAATCCTGTATACACTGCCCCAGAGTCCCGTGACCCTGCTCTTCAGACGCCTAAAATGGACATCTACAGTTTCGGCATCCTCCTGGTTGAGATGTATACATGTGAATTCCCTGCTCCCGAACATCGTGACGAGTTAATGGAGTCGATTGATAATCCTGCTATCTTACACCTAATCAGGCAATGTCTAAATGAAGGCAAAGATCGACGTCCATCAGCTGGTCAACTGCTGGAACTGCTGCAAGCCATTCAGTAACTAATTTAATGCATGTCACTTTGTCATGTGACTTACAACGTACTGAGAATTGACTGAAATTAAAAAGTCATGCATAATGGAAATTGTATTAAACCTTTTTACAATTTACATGTGAACGCATGAAGTAAAAATAGGGTGTTTGCCACATGATAATGTTTCCCTGTGTACGCAAGCATAGCACGAGCCGTAACACGGACGTAGGGGAAATCCCTCACGTAGAGCGCAATGCGCGTTGCGCGTAATGCTCTCACGCGGTTCTTATGTACGTGGTAATCGTCGCCATATCGCGCATGCAAATTCTCTATTCATTGTACTACACAATTCATTCACAATCTCAAACTTGCCCCTGTGTGTCATAACCCCTATTTTTACTTGATGCGTTCACACATACCTTTTGAAATGCAATTCTCTTCAGTACGTAAAGAGTTGGTGGTTCACATGGTGTGTAGAGTGCTTGTGCGCTAGTTCGGTAGATTTTAGGTGCATCGACCAACATATATACTGATATAATGCATAGCTAATTTTTGTCAACTAAGGCGTTAGACTGTGGTTCATGAAAGACTCCAGCCATCCATTTGCAAGTTTGTGTATCAAACAACAGAAGACACTACAGAAATATGAAATAAGAACTGAGTTATTCTGTGATTTATATCACTTGCACCACTCTGTTTGCGTCATCCTCGTGATTTGGGTTGTTGTTTGGCTGACGTCATTCCTGCAAAATGAGACACACACCTTGTCTCATGTAGGAAGTGCCAGTACCCAAGACTACTATTGTTTTCGTTTTTTGATGTCAACTTTCAACCATGAAACATCTGCTAACAAGGTAGCTAGAATTTGTGAGAGTTTGAGTGGCCGAGGAGTTGGTGGCCTGCTGCAGAACAGTGGGAACACCGTGGGAGTTGTGACAGTGGAAGTAGCGGGGATTAGTGGCCAGCTAAGGAAGATTTGTTAGAGTTTGAGTGGCTGGGGAGTTGGTGACCTACTGAGGGAAGGTTCTGAGAGTTGGAGTGGCTGAGGAGTGTTTGGTACTAATAGTGGAAGGTTGGTGACCTGAGGGTGGGAGTTGCTGGTGAGTCGATCCTGTCAGTAGCACACTGACAACCTGCTGGTTTGGTCTTCAGGAAGTCGCTGACTGTGGGGTTTTCATTTTGTATGGCCCCTCTACCTCTCAAAGAAGTTCTCCAGTGAATCCTGACACATTTTGTTTCGATGTATGTGATGTTTAGTAACTTTAGATAGATCCTAGCTAGCAATCTTTATGCTCAATAATATGATTAGCTATAATAGTTTGCTTCCTTAAACACGTCGACTTTGCAGCGTTATAATCCATACACACTGAGTTCTTTATGTTTGCTAGATGCCTTCAGACACTCCTACCTTTGAGGATAGTAGCAGTTTGTTTATGCGCCTGAACACACAGATGCAGGCGAGCGTGGCTCTTCCTGCGTTCTGTAAACCTGTGTTTTGTGTGGGAAGCCACACATACTACGCATTGCTAGACACACTAGGTATATTAAGAAAGGAGACATTATGCCGGTCTGGATAGCTGTAGTGAATCTTTTGATTTCTGAGTTAGCTAGGTGTGTTAGATTGAACTCTCTCTCTTTTCTACTTTTGTCATATGCACTCCTGTGTTCCTCTCCCCTTTTTTCTTTTTGAGTGGACCAGTAACTGGACCTAGGTTGGCGACGGGACAGCCACTAGTTCACACCGTAAACTCTTGTCTTTGTTTGTTCATGTTCATTGCACCTTTTTTCGTGTGTGACTAAAATAATGCACTCATGGAAAGTTAGTAGAAAGGCTCTTTCCACAAACCCTAGCTCAGTTAGTTATGTGCATTCAGCGTAGCTAACTTGCTAAATTGTTGTATATCTAGCCTTTAGAAAAGCCTGGGTGTAGACCAGGCCTTACAATCATCACATCTGGCTGGCTATGTCATATATATCATCACACTGAACTACAAAGTAATGTAGTCAATTAACGGACGCCAATGTACCAATGCTTCTCGGACCCTTTAAATGCCGTTGCAAAAGTTCATCAATTTCTGTGCACTGGTGTAACGGGGTAGTAGTTATTTCATGAGGAGCAAATAAATAAACCTTTTAAAAAAAAATAGTTTAGCACAGAAGCAAGGATGTAAGTAGGGTGGGGGAGGTTCTTTCTTTTCCTCTGAGCTAGTATGCTATAAACATGTTTTTTCATGTAAGTAGCACTCAATTGCTAATACGAGACATGATTCCCATGAGAATAAAAATAAATAAGATGACGTTTGAACAGAGAAAAAGAGAACTCAGAACATAGAGTACTATCAAGACTGTTCCACAGTCTAATAGTTGCAGGAACAAACGAGTGGTACATGGAGTTAGTACGGGAGAAAGGATGGTGTAGAGAAAAAGGATGAGAATGATAGGAACGGGAGGTGCAAAAAAAAAAACACATCCAGGTCAAAAAAACACAAGCTGTTCACAATTTTGTATGTACAGGAGACAAAGTCTAGCCACCTCTCTTCGTTTCTCAAGAGACAGAACACCAGTTTTATCCAGCAGATCAGATCCCAACACCATTCGCAGAGCAAATTTTTGGGACCTTTTCTAAAAGTATTTTATCACTCTGTGAAGAAGGAGACCAAATTGCAGCAGCATATTGCAGATGAGGTCGAACCAGTGACTTGTAAAGCTGCAAGAGCATTGTGTCTGGAAGATGTTGGTAGTAGTAACGAAGGCCAATCATCTTCTTGGCCTTCATACAGACACTGAGGGTGCTGACTCCACGATAAGTCAGAGGATATGTGCAATAGGAGCTAACAAACCCCAATCTCGATCGTGAACTGAAGTTTGTACAGGAAGACCTTGGGATCCCACATGAAGCCAATACCATTTATCGTCTGCCTATCGGTTATGTACACGTGTACTCAAAGACAGTGCCCTGCAGTGCACTGAAGTTGTCTGCAACAAGTTTTTTCACTTTCGACACTTCGACTCCCATGACGACTCTTCCACGAGAGTGCACAATTGACATCAAACCATTTGTGTACGCCAAGGATGACCTGAAAAGAATGGGTGAAGATAAGACAGAGTATGCGTGGAAAACTGAAGAGCTTGTGTCCTGGGATTGGAACGAGGAGGTGTGGTCGCAGCGACTTTTCCAGTGCATCCAGCATGGATTCACGGGAGTGAAAGTGGTACCTGCCTTTCGGTGGAAACCAAACGGCTACCAGGCTGAAATCAGCACGATATTTTCAAATGTAAAGTGTATACATGCGACTCCCTTTCACGGGATGACGGACATTTTGCTAGTTGGAGAGAAAAGCCTTGGGCTTATTCGAGTTCAGGAGACGACCGTTGTTTGCTCGGTTGAGGTAGTTGAGGTAGGTGTATATAAAGAAGCCACTTGTCCAGTGACTATCGCGGGTGAAGTCAAAATGTGGCCAGAGAAGATGGGTGAATTGCTGGCAAGCATGTATTTTTTTGGAACACTCAACTATCTGAACAACCTATGGAGAATGCCAGCAGACCACTTTAGTTTTGAAACCTATGGATTGCTAGCAATACGCAGCATAGGCTGTATAGTCATAGAGATGGTGTTGGACCACACAGGCTGTCATGTTCGGTTAGTCCACGAAGGTGGCATGCTTAGCCTGGGGGAAGCCCTAGAGTATGTGGTGGCAAAGGTCAAGACCCGAAACAACTGAACAGTATATTTGCAACCTCAGCACGATATGTACCTATAGCGATGCCTATATCAGTCTCCTTTCGAAACACTTCTCCAGAGAAAATGGTGCTTAACTAAACAGTATAATTGAAGGGCCGAGAGAACGAGGTGTTCAGAACACCTTTCGAGGTGTAGAGCTGGTACCAGCCAGCAAACTCCCCCACAATGCGACAAGCGACGTGAAAATTGCCCATGCTTCTGCTGTGAATGCACACATAATCCCCGACTTTCATCTCGGACTTCACGTCCTCTGAAGGGACAGGTTTTACACTCTCTGGGGGACTTGAGGCTGGGTCTAATGCACTGGGATTGGCATCTGCTCCCGGGTTATTTGGGGGAGGAAACGGAGTACGACCATGAGATGAGTCACCATCGTGAATTTCTTCGTCATAGCCAGCCACTGTGCTCGCCCGCCATATTCAGCATCTTGGGGCACAGTTTACCATGGGCATTACTTTCATAGCCGATGAGAGCTAAACAATCCACAGCTATAGTCTTGTCATCTGCATTGATATGTTCATTCATTTCTTGGAGAGTAGAACTCTTGTACGCTATGCTGGTTGATAATACCGCAAACCTGAATAGGAAAAAACAACAACATATGACTGCAAGACACAAAGGGGTTTTTAATTGTCCCCTAGGGGTGCCATCCTAAGGGATTTCCAGGGATGTATCCTGAAAGTCAGAGATACATCCCTGAATACATGGATCTATCCCTTAGGACAGGGATATGACCCTAAGGACCTGGGATTAACCCTTAGGACATTGTAACGAGCAGACTCAGAGTCAGGTATCAGTTCCTACGTGGGACCATCGGAGTGGGCCTCTTTTTGGTACAGCTTTCGTGGAAAGGGCAGTCTCTGTGGCTGGAGCGTCGGTGTGTGCTCGATCCACATGCAGCACACTTCCCCTTCCCCTGGGGTTTTCCCTTGCCAAGACCACTGCCCTTCCCTTTTCCTTTGTTCTGGTTCACCCCATCACCAGAGTCACACACCTTTTCTCAAACGTCACTATCACCGCTACCACCAAAGTACGTATCATGGCCGTGTTCTTTTGACCACTTGATGCGCTCTACCCCTTCGACAACACGCTTCTTTTTCTCTATTCTCCGTTTCTTCTTAGGAGTGGTTTTGGCCAACTCTAATTCTCTCTTCCTCCGTGCATTGTGCTTTTCCAGCGCCTCGACCATGCCTTCAAAAACAGGAAGCTTCATGCGTCGGTACAACTCTGGGAGCCAGTACCCAGCTTTTCATGCATGTAGGTCAAGTTGGCTTGGAGCAACCCGAGATTGGTGGAGAGTTGGTAGTGAAGCCTCTCCAAGTAGATATCTTTGGACCGGAATCTGATAACTATGTTGTGAGAGGCTTCAACTGCATTAGAGTGGCCACGTTTGAGGATGGGGTGAACCAGTTTGCTGGCCTGTGCAGCCCTCTCTGTGCATTCAATCTTGTACAACAGTGCATAAAAATCACAATCCAGCTTCATTCCGGTTTTGTAAGGCTTTCCCTCACACTCTATTTGTTCCTTGTCCCCGCACTTTTTGCACGTGCACACCCGAAGTGGGTGGAAGTCACACCTTCCTCCCTCCCACTCGTGAATGTCACGTGCATGTTTTGGAAGTGCTTCCAGGCGTTTCACAAGCACAATGACACCTACCACTTTGTTGCTGACTGTAAGCGATATGTACTCATGATATAACGTTATTATGTTTACGTTTTAGAAGTGACGTTATGCAATCTCAAAAATCCTACAGCAGGGTACAAATTGCGATCAGGCTTGCCAACAGACCCTCACGCTTTGTGAGCCGCTCGTGGGTGCGGTTCCACCACCAGACTACTCCCTCCCTCCCTATGTTCTCATGTCATATTGCACTTGCACCAAGTTATATATAACCAGTTAGCCAAGCTGCTCTAGCCATCATTGTAAAAGCTAGTCCACTTCATCTAGTGCTTATATATGTATGTATATACTTCAAGACAAACCATTGCATAGATCTGACTAATTACCAGGGTTGTCCCAACTGGGATTCAGTCTATATATTTTAGTTTCGTAATCTCTGGTTCTGTCCCGGCTACCATGTGGAGCAGCAGAATGGCAGAACAGGAATGAGACTCAGAATGTGATTACCACACTTACATGTACATTGTACATTCAAGGCCGCCCTGCCGCCCTGGACATCACCGTCATCTCTACACTACAGCAATCAACCGTTCGGGGTGCTGCAGAAAATCAGGGCCATGCCCTTTTAGTTGCTGAGGAGAGAAAGTTTGCTTCTCACGGTGCAGCCTGCCAGGCCGTTGGCATCAGTTTCATCCCTCTCGCCATAGAGTCCCTAGGTGGCGTGAGTGATATGTCTGCTGACACCATCTCCAGCCTGGGCCGTCTTTTGGGTCAGCGTTTGGGGATCTCTCCGGTCGAATCTACTCGTCATCTTTACCAAAGACTCGCAATATCTCTCTGGAGGGGAAATGCTTCTGCCTGGATTCACCGCAGTCCACAACTTGCCCCCTCTCTGGATGGTGTTATTTGACTCTGTGTTGTTTTGCGTTGTTTTGTTGTTCTTTTGTGTTTTTTTTGTGTTTTTTTTTGTTTCTTGTTGTTGATATTGTAGTTTAGCTACATGTATATACGTTGTTTTTTTTCTTCTTTTTTTTCTTTCCATCTAAAAAACAAAGAATGTAAATTTGTATATGCACGCATGTACATGGTTACAGTATCTTTGGCTTTCTATGTAGCGTACATGTATATAGCATAGTGAATAGGAGAGATTAGTCCAGTCTTGAGACTATAAAAAGATAACTGTAGTCACATTATTTATTCACAGTACGGCTATTACAGGCTGGAGAAGCCACGTGCAAGCTTTATTGAATTATGCTACGGAGAATATTATTTCGAAGGAGTGCTGCCACCAGTGGGAAATGTTTATGGTATCCTCGATAAATCAACCATTATCCACGGGACGACGACTTCTGACTACTGCAGTGCACTGACTTCCGGATCTGAAGCAACCAACGATGTCGAGGATGATTCTCTGCAAGATCTGTCTGTTGCTCGTCATTCTGTCCAGGAGACAAGTCAACTGTGAGTGTTTTTTCAGCGAGCATACAGCAGTGCTCCATTTTCTGCTTGTGGTTATGAGTGTGTGTCTAATGTGGCTACATGTACACTTGTAGGGCAGGGCCTTACAATAATTAATAATAACGAGCGCTGGGTGCCTGGCACAACAGCTGTTCATTCGACGTTCGTAGCGTTCCGAGGGTTTTGCACTTTAGTGCCTTTTCAAAGTGGAGTGTATACACGCTTCACGGGATGACGATGTACCTGTTATTGGCTTTTTTGGTCATTGCAAAAGGGAAGAAAGTCACAGTCACCCCTGGAAGTGGGGGTTATTCGCTTCCGCTCGTAGCAACATTTGACTTCAACGAGGATTTCTGTGGGATGAGGGATTTCACCAGCTCCTCGTGGCTTACTGTGACACTTCCATCACCAAGGCAACCAACTCCTCTCAAAACAAATATGGCGCATAAAGGGCACCTTTCTGTAAAAGGCACTTGGTTCTGCCCCGTACTGAGCTTCAAATAAGCTCGAAGGGTATTCAGCAGTTTCACATTACTACTTCCTCTGACTACCACTAGCACATCATGTCCACGTGATCACCAGCTACAAATAAAGATTCAACTACTGATCCAACGGCAGAGACACCAGCGATTCAAGACACTGCAGCAGTTGACACCTCTACTGAGTCAAGTCCATCTGCTGATTCTCCGAGGAAGCACACAGAATACAGCCTGCGCACCCACTTCATCCTGCTTGGGTCATCAATGTCTATTGTGCCACACATTGTGTAAGACTGTTATACCCGATCGAAGTAAGCCTAGCCCTGTAGTACATATTGGCTTGTTCACATGTTTTTCACGCCATAACTTTCTAACGCAGTATTTTTAATGAAAATCGCCGTTTTAAAAATCTAGCCAGTGTAGCACTGAACCCGTTACTATCGCCTTTTCTCCGATTACTTGTGCGTGGTGGCAGAAAACGCCAGACAGAAGGAAAGACGGACAGACAGACAGACAGACACACTTACGAACCAAGTACTAACTATCATTAGGAACATCAGGTCTCCCCACTTGACTGATGTTCACATAGGAATTGTTGGACAGAGTCTGGCTCATGAAGGAGAGACGGGGAAAGATCTGAGAGTGGACCTCCATCAGAGACCAGAGGAGACTCAACATCACTAGGTGGAAGCAAGAATACATGTTGTCTTCGCAGCTAGCTTCGCTTTGTTTTTCGGTGTTGTTATGCGCATGCGTAGAATAAGCGCACGTATGTTAACGGAAAAAGAGAACGAAATGAGGTTCAACGACAAAGAGCTGGGAGCCTGGGCGAGCATGATACCATAGGAAGTTCCTTTACTATTATAATGATGATATCTTCATAATTACAAAAATGCAATTACTATCGTCGTCATCAGATGTGGCGGAAAATTCAGACTACGATTAGGTGGATATCTGAACGTGCACTGTTCTGGGAGAAAGTGAACTTCACTGACAACGTTCCCCTCGTCCCAACGTCGGCCCACACAGGCGACGGAATGGGCGACCTCATATCCCTCCTGGTGGTCACCTACAGTCAGAGGGTCCTGGCACCCAAACTCATGCTCAGCGAGGAGCAAGAGGCTGTAGTGTTGGAGGTGAGTAATACTCTGAGCTTTGAACAATTGGCACATTTCAGGTCAATAATGTGGGCTGTGGGACCATATCCATCAATACATTCTCCACACAGCAGACCTTTTCTGTTCCACACATCACATCATCCAGCAGACCTTACTGTGGCACTCTGCCCAACCCACTCAATGGAGACGTGAAAGCTGATACTGTGTTCAGTTCGGTGGCCAACTACTCTAGCATGCACTTTCATAAATTTGATGTGCAAAAATCTGCACAACCCTTTTACTGTAACAAAGGAAGTCACTCAAACTTCAAGATAGCTACTGCAGACACAATCCAATAGAGAACGAAGCTATTTTTCACAGCCGTGCCACTACTCCTTTCATTTGACAACATCCACTTGAAAAGTACCACAAGGTTTCATTTCACTGGGGGCACTGATAATGATTAGCACCATTCCTTCATACTGATGGAGTTCAACATGACAGTGGCAAAAATACTTCTGGTTTTGTGAAACACAATATAAATTACTTTGTTTTTGTTTCTGTATTATTTCATCTCCAAAACATGGTTTTGTAATTATTCACTCTTCTCATTAAAAATTTATAATCTTCAATGACAACATGTCCCCTTATTTCTATACTGAGTTCCTATACAATCAGTGAGTGCACTGTGTGATTATTGTGATAATGTGTGATTGAACATCATCATTATTAACCTGAATCATTTAACAAACAGTAATTTATTCCTAAGCAGTACATAGTCAGCGTAGTGAGTATACTGTGCAGAAATCCAGGGGATATAGAATGCCCTGAACAATCTGTGGGACCTGCAGATGTTGCAGATACGGTAGCTACCATTATTCATAGGTGGTATATACTTGGGATGGTTACCACCTATGAATAAT